GTGAGGAGCGGAGGGGAGGCCGCTGCAGCCTCCACCCACCTCCCGGCCTCTGCCTCAGGTTCCCGGGGGATTTCTCCTCTCTCTTCTCCTGTGGCTGCTGGGATTTTAGGGAAGGGCAGAGATCTGCTGGGGTGACCATTGTGGGGCCGGGGACCCCGTGGAGGGCAGTGGGGACAGAGTGTTGAAGGGGAGAATCTGCCCCTGGGGCAGGCTGGTTGGACAGGGTCAGATCTGCCGGGAGGGGAGGGCTGCACATGGCCTCCTAACTGGGGGCCACTGTCCAGCCAGGCCCGCCTCAGCCCCGGGGATCCTGAGAGAACCTTCCAGAACTTCTCCCAGGGAGAAGGGGCCCAGGAGCCCCCCCCAGAGCTCCGTCCCAGTGTGCACCCTCAACCTCCCCTGGGAGCAGGAAGGCTGGCTTTTGACGTCCCCGCCAGGGTGGCCGCCCGAGTCCCTGTGTCCTCTGTAGACTGGGCTCCTTGTGGCCCTGCAGGGCTCAGGAAGGGGGGCTCCGGGGAGGGCTACCCGCAACAGAGACAGGTCAGGCCCGGCCACGTTCCTCAAAGCCAGGGGAGGACTTGGCCCAGAGAGGTGTCAGCCACGGGACAGCGGTCGTGAGTGTGTGGGGTCAGTGTTGGTGACTGTCCCGTGCTCTTAGCCCTTCTTGGGCCTTGTGACACAAGGTGTCCCACGCTGGGCACCTCGAGGGAGTGGGGACAGGGTCCAGCCCATTTGCTGCTCTTAGAGGTGGCCTCTGCCCTTCAGCACTGTGGCCGCTAAGGCCAGACATTTCCGGGTGGCGTCCTGGGCACTGCAGGGTGCTGACTCCACCCTCTCCAGGCCAGGACGCCCCAGTTGTGACGACCACACATGTCCCCAGATGTGGCCCGGTGTCTCTGGAGGAAGTACAGCCCCTGGTTAAGAGACCCCCGTCTGTGATTATTCCTGACCTTGAAAACTTCAGGGGGAGATGCTCCTAGCCGGGGTGCTGGGGGGGACTGGGCACCACACAGGTGCCACACCACACTTCAGTTTAAATAGTGCCTTGGATTCTTTTAATGTGTATCAGAAAATTCAAGTTTCCATGATGAATGTCATGAAGTTTCCTCTTCAAATGAATTCAGTGCAGATCAATCAAGTCGGTGGACCTGGAAGGAGAGGTGGCCAGGGCACAGTGAGGGGCTCTGGGGCCCCAGCTCGCTCTGGGCAGGAGGTGACTGAGGCATGGAGAAGTGAAGTCCAGGGCAGGCTGGGCTGCTGCCTCTGCTGAGCGTCTTCTCTGGGTGAGGGAGGAGGCAGAGGTGACGATGTCCCCCACTGCCCGCCACACTGTCCCAGCACAGGACAGGATAGGCCCAAGGCCCGTCTCAGCAACCTGGCCTGGAGTCCTAATTCTGCCTTTGACGGTGGCCTTGGATGAGAGGCTCCATCTCCCCAGGCTCGATTTCCTCGTCTGCAACAAGGAGCCCAGCTGGGGCGGCTCCGAGCTCCGCCTGGGCTCCTGGGCCATCGGGGTGGCCCCGCCTGGCTCCGCACCTCCATGAACCACAGCACCACTCCAGGCTCCTGGACCCGGTGCCGCGTGGAGCCCCATTCCTGTCCCTGATGGCTACACCTGGGGGTGCTTGTGGCGGTGGAGGGGGCCTGTGTGGCAGGTCCCTGGGGGGTCCTGAGTGCTGGCTGTGTTCCAGCAGAGGACAGACAGGTCATGGAGCCTCCTGCCACACTTGGGCGACCTCTGGGCCCTGGCATTGCTTGTGAAGACGGGAGGCCAGATGGGGCGGGCTGAGCCGCCTGGCCAGGCTCCTTGATGGGCAGGCCGCGGGCTGGCACCGGGCAGGCGGAAGTTCAAGACCTCCACTCCACTCAGAGCCCTGGGCAGGTCAGTTTCCCTCTGTGCTCGGCCGCACGGGTCTTGGAATCATCTGGCCTCGCAGCACAGCGGCCCGTGTAGGGGAGCAGCCCGGGGGACGCAGGACTGCGGTTAGGGCACTGAGGCCCTGTGAGGGCCGGGGCAGGCGGTGGTCCCAAGGTGCTGCTCTGATTTTGTTTTAAAAATCTGATGAAAGATCCACAGTGTGACATCAGCCATCCTGGCCAGGTCCAAAGGCCGGGTCCCAGCCCTGGCGCACAGCCATGCGCGGCCACCCCCAGAGTGTTCCCATGGACCTAGGCGGAAGCTATGTCCCCTCAACACCAGCCCAGCCCAGCCGCTTCCTGGGTCCCCTCTGTGTCTGACTCTCCCCCACAGGGGCACCGACAGGCCACCCCTGTTGGCCAGGGTCACATTTGCTTCCCGTTTGCCTGGCTTTTTGCAGAGGTGGGAGTGGGAGCCGCGGCCAGCCTTGGGCACGTTAGGGAAGCGCCGTGCTGGCCTCTGCACCTGGCCCTACTCTTCCTGCTGGTGCTCCAGGGGGTGGACAGGCCACGGGTGCTGCCCTCGCCACCTTTGGGCTGCTGTGGGCCATGGGTGAACATGGCCTCCTAACATCCCTTTGAGACCCTGCTCTCCAGTGTTGGGCCCGCGGGGTCACATGGGGACTCGCGTGGCGCAGGTTTCTAGGGACCACTGGGCCGACCTCCACACATGCTGGTCATTGTCCACCTCCGAGCCTGTCATTCCGTGGCTGCTTTCTCATTCTTCTTTTAATGATCATGACCAGGCAGGGCTCCGGCTGCCCCAGAGCCACCCCTCTTATGGCCCTGTCCCACCCGGACTATTTTGGGCTTTGTGACCAGCAGGTCAGCCTCACCCCGCTGCGTGCCTGTGGCAAAGGGCAAGGCTTGGCAAGCCCCCCAGGTCCCCTTCTCCAGGCCACTCCCAACTGCCTTCCCCTGAGGCTGCCGTGGCGGTGGCCCCGGGCGCTGGGTTTTACATACACTCCCAGCGGTCAGAGAGGCAGGTGGTCAGTGGTTTTGACCCTGTAGAGCAGAGAGTCTGGTCGTCATAGTAACAGTCTGCTCCCGTGGGTCTGTTCCAATAAAACTTTATTTATAGGCTCTGAAATTTGAATTCCATCTAATTTGCATGTGTTGGAAATTTCAATTCTTTTTAAATTTTTTTCCCTTGATCATTTAAAAATGTAAAGCCAGTAGCTCGGTGGTAGAGGACTTGCCAAGCACATGTGAAGCCCAGGGTTTGATTCCCAGCACCACACACGAAAAATAAGTAAATAAAAAATAAATAAAAAAATTGCATCTAGGTGGGGTGGCCACACCTGACATCCCAGCTGTGTGGGAGGCTGAGGCAGGAGGATCGCAAGTTCTGTCTCAAAACTAGAAATAAAAAGGTCTGGGATGTGGCTCAGTGCCAGGCTCTTGCCCAGCGTGCCTGTGGCCGGGCTCCACCCCAGGACAGCAGAACCTTCGGATCAACCCACCAACCAAACCCATGAGCCCAGTTTATTAGCATGAGTGCAATGTACTGTTACTTGATTTACCCTAAAAGTTGAAAATACCATTGAGCAAAACACGAGTCACACTGTGTGCATGGTTTTTGGTTTGTCAAGTCCTGAAGGATGTCCTAAAGGGTGTATGAAGACAGTTAATACCCACGTAATGTGCCCACTCAATGCGTATACTTCAATTTTTTTTTTTTAAGTATGTTCATCTGGTTGTGCCACCATCACCACCACGCAATTCCAGAACCTTCTATCACCCCAAAAGGAGACCCTGCCCCATGAGCAATTCCCCATCTCTCCCCAGCCCTTTACCCCCAAATGCACGTCCCGTCTCTGGACTCCCCTGTCCTGGACTCTCCTGTCCCTGGATCACGCACTGTGGCGAGTGTGATTGCTCTCACTGAGCACCAGGTCCTGGTGTCATCTGGCTCCAGCTGTGCGTGGCCACCTGTGCGGGAGTGCTTGGTTGCCTGCCCCTGGGGACTCTCGGGACCCTCCTTGCATGGTTTTGCTGGAGACACCAGTTTCCAACCTCTCCTTCCTTCTGTGCTGCCGGGGAGGGACCCCAGGGCCCTGTGCATGCTGGGAGGGCTCTCTGCCCCCCACCCAATCCCCAGCCCTTCAGTCCTTCTGCGTGTCCACGAGTGGCCTCGCTGGGTCACCTGGTGATTGGTTCTTTCCCTACCTCTTGACTTCGTCCAAACATGTCTGACTGCAGGGGATTGGTGCCCTTCTGGCCTGAGGGGGGCCTGTGTCTGCATTTCTGCAGATGGCCACAGGGTGTCACCCTCAGGTCGAGGGGCACCTCTCCCCTGCCACCCCACAATCCTGGAGTCTCCACCAGTTTCCAGACCCTTTGGGCAGAGCTAATGGCATCTGGAGAGGGCGAGGGGGAAAGCCCTGCTTCTCGGGGTACCTGCGCCTCGGTTCGGGTGGAGTGGGTCTAAGTGGTTAAATGCTCCAGGGCTCGGGCAGGTGAGCTCCGTGGGGAGGGGCCGGCCAAGGGCAGGAAGTGTGGCTTT